CCTCAACCGGTAGTGCCAACGAAACCAATAATGACACTAAATATAACATTATAGACAATAGTGAAGACATTGCTGTAAATGCCACCAAAACCATAGAAGAGCTATACGAAGAACAACAGCAAAAAGTAGCAAATAATACGGATGTCTTACAGACAACTAATCTTACCAACAGAGAGGGCACGTATGATAATCAACGAGTAGACACATTGACCACAATAATCCCTGCGATGCCCGGAATACCCATATTTCGGTCGCCGCCCGAGTTTAAGATCCACGACCCGGACGAGGGGCCACTCGAGCCATACTTTCATCCGGGAAATACCACGGATGAAAATCACTGGTATATGCCGTCCACCGACACTCCCGGACAAAAGTATGTGTACGTTAAACGACCAGATTTTGAGGCCGAAAAGGGCTCTCTTGAGGAGACTTACAAACATCTGTTGGTCGGCGCCAATGATGATGACGGCGAAGACGTACCCCTTCCTCCAGATTTTGATGACACACAACAAAATTATACAAATAATGGAAACGACACCACTTATGACACGTCTTCTAACGTTACCGAAGATGTGCTCAAAGATATAACTACTGTTCGACCAAACATTTTACCAAAGCCTCTCCCTTTGCCCGCACCCCCTATAATGCCACCTCTGCTCCCACGCCCTCATCTAACCCAACCCCTGCCTTATCATAACTATTATATGCCTCAAAATGCTTATTACAACCGATATTCTTATGGGTATTTGCCATATCGTGTCCCATACTATCAATATATGCGGCGTTTTAATCCACTTCAATATTACGGTAAGTTTTACATTAATATTGTTTCCATTTAAGGCTAAATTTTAAGTATTAATTATTGACATTTTAAAATAGGGCGAAACTACGGCTATAATGGCAATCAATGGCCACCGATTGTGACATTTCCCACAACTACCGAAACGATCGCCACAACAGATGTATATAAAATGTTACCAAAGAGTTACGAAGAGTTTGGCGCAAAGATAGCGCGGGTGACCGTCGAGGAAGACCAACAGTCGGACCCATTGTCAGCCGCCGATGAGGACACGTTGGAGGCAATGGGGCCGTTAGAGTTGGGCACTACTACTGAACAATCAGCTAAAGAGATTCAATTCATTATCAATTCAAGACTTCATCCCAAACCTAATAATAAAACTCGTGATTCAGTAAACAGTAAACCCATTGATAAAGAGTCACAAATTGGATCAAAACAGAAATTTAGGCCAAATATAATGAACTCATATTTAAAGCCTAACACTCAATACAAGACTAATCAGTATTTGCCACACAATTATGATTTTATGGATGAAAACGATGACCACATTGTATTGGCTGAAGACAGACAATTCGCTCCGAAACCGATGAAGAAGAGGAAGAAGATAAGGATTAGTTTGGCGAATAAGAAGATCCCACGGATTCGTGATAATAGGCGCCGAATATACATAAAGAGTTCAGGAAAAACCGGAGCAAAAGTTGGCGATCGAAGACTAATCCGTGGAAAACACTATAAAATAAGACGAATAATTCGTAAAAAAATTAATCAAACAAACCGTGCCTTAAGTCATGGATCCATTGGACACGCGGTGACCAAAATACCCACAAAACACAATAATATCGATTGGCGATCAGATGGTAATAAGCCGGACATCACCACAAAGAGACCAAAGTTTCTGTTTCGGGCATCTATTAAAGATGAATCGCTACGAGTGGACTCTCGGGGTGTGAAGTGGTGGTCACTGGAACAGCCATCCTATTGCTCTCAAGACATTTATGTGACCAAAGGCTGCGCGAAGACTGAGCCCAACAAACGCTGGTCTTATAACCCGACGGACAAGAAGTGTTACGCCTATGAAGACTATTGCTATGATTTGAAACCAAATTCATTTAAATCATCGAAAGATTGTTTCAGAAAGTGTTACAGAATTGACAAAATTTGATTATAAAAATTGTTTTAACAAATTTAAATCAATATTTAATTTCTCGCATTTAATTACTTACAGTATAAGTATTGCTAAATTAACTATGTTTTTATTTATTACTCAACTATAATTAAATACAACACAATTTAAATAATATTCATTAATTTGTGAGGATTTGCATGTATTAGATCAGCTTTAAGACATCGAAGAATGATTATCTTATTTTTACCATTATTTTTATTCATTGTTTTTCTAAGAATTTCATGTATATCTTAAACTTTCATTTCTAACC